ACCACATCCGTGGGGTACTGCCATGAGATCCCCGCTACGCTTCGACGGCACTGGCTTTTGTTGCGAGACAGAGGACGCAGATCATGCTGTTGACATGTCGTGTTTGAGTAATAGATTGCGCGAATCGCGAATCCAAAGCTAGGGAAGGGCTTTCAACAGTAACGCAGCTACTATAGTCGCCCGAAGGCATGGGATCCATGGGAGGGCAGGAGAAATTGTTGGGAAGCGGCAGTATGACTCTTACCCTACAGCCTACGTGCTCGTTTTCTGGCCTGGCGTGACGTCGACATGTGAATGCACGTCTTCGTTCGGCATCCCTTGGTTCCGATAAGGGTAAATGTCGAGTCTGGCACATGTTTGGCGCCGCAGATAGTTGTGGGTCAGGGATCACGGCGATACAGCTGCCCGTGGCGCGCGTGCGATAGGATGGGCGAGTGCGGTGCGGGCGTAGGGAGCTGCCGCATCGAGCAGCGTGGTGGTGTATAGGCAACCAAGTGCGAAGGTGCTGCGCTGAGCGCTGAGCGGCTGAACAAGGAGCGGGCGCCATGATGGTGCCAGGCAGTCCTACGATTCGCCATACGGGGGTTTCGGTGGTGGGCCTAGGAACTGTGTGGCCCTGCGGACCGTTTTCCAGAGGGGCTAACTCAATTTTTTTTGTTGCGCTGGGTACTCTCAGCGACCACGACGACGCCTGAGTCTGACAGCATTGCAGTGCAGCCAGCCAGCCCTGACCACCTTACCCCAACCCGGCTTCTGCCCTAGCCCTATCTATCGCATCCGCCCTCCCATACAGACCTGACCCGTCCGTCTTATATCTCGACGCCGCCCCCTCCCCTCGTCCCATCATGTCCGCTCCCCACGACACGCCCGCCCACAGCACCCACCCCATCAACACCACCACGCCCGCCGACCCCCCACTCAAGGGCGACGCAACCGCCGCGCACCCTCCCCCGCAGAAGCCCGACCCAACTCTCGAGTCCAACAGCCATGGCCCCTCCCAAGGCGGACAGTCCACCCCCCGTCCCTCCGCCGCCGCCGAACTCGCCCGTCTTAAAAGCACGCTGAAGGCCTCGCTCCGCCAGTTCAAAGACTTCCCCGAACCCGGCATCCTCTTCGAAGACATCCTGCCCATCTTCGCAGACCCCGCGCTCCACGAGGGACTGCTGCGCGGTCTTGAGCTGTCGATTGAGAAGCAGTTCGGCGCGACAGGTGCCAAGCCAGATGTCGTCGTCGGACTCGATGCGCGCGGCTTCCTGTTCGGGCCCAGCCTTGCGCTGAGGCTGGGCGCGAGTTTTGTGCCCGTCAGGAAGAGGGGCAAGCTGCCGGGTCCGTGTGAGACGGCGGAATACAAGAAGGAGTATGGCAGTGATTTCTTCCAGATGCAGGAGGGCGCTGTCAAGAGCGGGCAGAACGTGCTTATTGTGGATGATATTATTGCGACTGGTATGTGACATCGTTCGCATCAGAGACGAGACGAGATGCTAACACGACACAGGTGGCTCCGCAGCCGCAGCTGGTTCTCTGGTGAAGAAGCTAGGCGGAACTATCATGGGATACCTTTTTATTCTCGAACTCGATTTCCTCAAGGGCCGCGACCAGCTCGACGCGCCTGTACACACATTGCTTTCGGGCCAGGAGGAGAAGATGGAGCAGTAGGGGTGTAATACTGGGACGGCTGGTAATCTTCAAACTTCAAATCTCGACTCGATACCGTAAACAATACACATTATAGATGGGGCATAGGAATGCATATGGGCGGCGTTGGTGGTTTGTATAGTCACGACATGGCGCGATGAGAGATGCGCGCGAGGATATCACGATAAATACGTCAAAAGTCTCTTTACTCGTATACGCACCTTCAAATGGTTATTTCCACACTATATCATTGACACCGAACTAAGCCCTGCGCCCTGCGCAACACGACAGCGGCGCCATACCCTCTTTCCCCGTCGCAAAAGTCGCCGTCCCCAAAATTTCCGCCCTCATTACCCCTCCATCAACAAAAACATCCCTGCAAGCTGCTGACGCGCAGCGCACGCCCAAGAGGGAAAGTGGGGTAGCTTCCGATGCCGCACCCAAGCCCCATCTTATGTCACAGGTATAGGGCGGACGCGCTCAATTAGGTGTCCACCTAGCCCGATGATAGCCTCGATTTACCTGACGTAGATAAACGGTCCCATGCTGCTGATACGCACGGCGCTACCAAGAGCTCTACGTGCTTCACGACCTCTTACTACTACAACCACGAATCTCACGCGACCTGCTATCACAACTTCACCCTACAAAGCAATTGACATCAAAGGAATACGAAAGATGTCTGATATCAAGAAGATTCACACCGCTAACGCGTGTCCTCGTACGTTCCAGTTGACAGCGGAGATGCGGAAGGAGAGATAGCTAACAGAGACACAGCTGCTGGACCCTACGTACGTTCCTCCTCTATCGATCCCATCGCATCCGAACAACCGCGTTAACGTCACCGTCTAGACACAAGCCATCGTCGCAGGCCCCAACGTCTTCGTCTCGGGCCAGATCCCCGCCGATACCAAGGGCAACTTGATCGAGGGCAGCATCGCGGACAAGACCAAGATGTGCTGCGAGAACATCAAGGGCATCCTCACTGAGGCTGGTGTTGCTCTGGACAGGATCGTTAAGGTGCGTTCAAGGACATATATGGGCAAACAGCCGATAAGGTGCTGACTACGACCCCAGGTCAACGTCTTCCTCGACGACATGGCCAACTTCGCCGAGATGAACGGCATGTACGAGCAGTACTTCTCCCACAAGCCTGCGCGCAGCTGTGTTGCCGTTAAGCAGCTGCCCAAGGGTGTGCCGGTTGAGATTGAGTGCATCGCGTATACTGGTATGAGCTCGAAGCTGTGAAGCGTGGAGCTGATGTTGATGATGCATAGGTTGAACGACGATTCGGTGAAGCGAGGCTGCTTTGGAATACCGTGGATAAGTTAGGAAGACTACAAAACACATGTTCAATACGACACACATGATCGTTAAATTCATCTAGACGGCCAAAAATCTGTCCCTTTGCCATGCTCAAACTTACACGCCACACGTCCTTCTCCCAATGGCAGCTGGATCCTAGCGCCGCCACAAGACACTATGCTGGTGTACTGCGCTCAGCCTCACTGCACTACCCCGCTTTGGCGTTATTGTCACCACAACATGATTTGCTTCCTTTCTCAACACTCAACAAACATCTAATCTCCTCTCTTTCAGCTTGTGTCTCTAGATTCTGTACTGACGGTACAATGCGCCTTCTCCGAGCCTGCGGCGACGACTTCATTCTCGTCGAGTTCGTACGCAACATACCAACATATGCAATATTATCACATACCTGGGGCGCCGACGAGGATGAAGTCACATTCAAAGACATGTACAAGGGCAAGGGCAAAGGCAAAAAGAAACCCGGCTACGCCAAGCTCGAGTTCTGCGCTGCGCAGGCCGCTAGAGACAAACTCGAATTCTTCTGGGTTGATACATGCTGCATAGATAAGAGCAGTAGCGCAGAATTGGCTGAAGCCATCAATTCGATGTTCAAGTGGTATCGGGATTCGACAGCATGTTACGTATACCTCTCCGATGTACCCAGCACTGGCATGCGGTATCTACCGAAACACAAGCAGCCACCTTTTAATGGCAATCGATGGTTTACACGTGGATGGACGCTTCAGGAGCTTCTAGCACCAAGGAGCGTTGTCTTCTTCTCCATGGACGGCACAAGAATTGGAGACAGGTCTTCCCTTGCAAAAGAAATTGCGCGTGAGACGAGCATTCCTGTAGCCGCATTGGAAAATGGTCCAGACTTTATGCTCAAATACCCTGTTGAAGAGCGCATGAACTGGTCAGAGCATCGTCAAACGAAAAGGGAGGAAGATGCCGCGTACTGTCTTCTTGGCATATTCGAAGTTCAGATGCCGCTCATATACGGCGAAGGCAAAGAGAAAGCTTTTAGTCGCCTAAAAAAGGAGATCGAAGATCTGTACGGCAGGAGCGACTGGATCGATATCCTCTTGCATCGGTACGGGCTCCCATCGTTACAGGTAAGCATGTGTACCCGAATTTATTGTACAGCTTGAGATCTGACCTTACTCCCAGATCCCTTGGGCTTATATAGGCCATGGCGTTGCCGGAACTGTGAAGATTATGATCCTTCTCTGCACAATCGCCATCCATGTCTTCGTGATCGCGTACGACCTTCCAAAGACGATATGGTTTCTGGGATGGGCTGTGGCTGCGACACCATTCTATCTCTATCGCTGCACCCGATGGAACAGGCCAGAACAAATTCTTATCTTCTCTTTAGTAGCAGTCGTTTGCTACGTTTTTGGAAGGCTCATCTGTCTACAGAGAGAGCTGCAGAGACTGAACGACATAGTATTCGACAACGCAATGATGCAAGGCATAGACCAGCAAAGCATACACGTTCGAGAGATTATGCGGCGCATGCAGAAGGGAGTCATATAGGTCGCCAACATTCGCGCTTCACACATTGTAGTAGGCATGAATTAAGCTCAGCAGGGGCAACAAGTCTGCAGCTTGTGCAAGGTCGCTCACACACGGTAAACTGCCTCTCACAAATACCGGTAGCCGATCAAAGCAGATTGAAAGACCGTAAACATTGCCATCAGGAAACCAGGTTCAACCACATTCCTGCTGCCGAGGCGATCAATTCGTTCTGCATCAGCACTTCTGGGCGACAAGCCTCACGTTATCAACCGCCTATCCGGGATTGACTACAACCCGTTCACAATTGGTCTTCAGAGCGAGCGGGAAAGTCTTGCAAAGTGCCCAAGTCTCTTGGGGTCCGGGGAGGACGTCTGGGATAAATTTCCGGGTAAAGCTACGTGACGAACATTGCCGCTTCGGGAGACATGACACAACGAGCACTATGGGATAACACAGAACTCTCATAAGATGCTGTTATGCCTCGAGAGCATTTGAAAAATCTCTGTACTCCACGGTAGCGACATGCCATTGTAAACATGCGCTTTTTAGCCACAACGGTTATTGTTCTGCAACTAGCACTCCAGCATGCATCAGCGACGGTAGGCGTCCTCGACATCAACGACCTACTGCAACCAGATCTCCAACAGCATCTATCGACTCCAAGCGAAGATCATCCGTATGCGCCATGGTCTCACAAACCGTACTGCACAGCCAGCAGCTACCTCCCCACTTTAGGCCAAAAGTACTGCGTCTACACATCCAACACAACAGGCCCACACGGCCTCTCCCTCATCTTCTCTCCGAAATCGGCCTACCTAGCATCGGAATATCTCGACGACAACCCGCTCAATAACTTCCTGACTCAGAAAGATGCTGAACGCCTCTACTTCGGCAGCCAACCATGGAAGATCGTCGACATACCCGGAAAAGCGAAAGGCGTAGTGGCCACTCGCAAAATCAAGATGTACGAAACATTCATGGTGGATCAAGCCGCTGTCGTTGTGGATATGGGGGCGGAGAAGGCTCTGAGTGAGGCCGAAAACAAGAAGCTGATGAAGAGGGCGGTAGATCAACTGCTTGTTCCTGCGATGATTAGAGATATGAGTTCTGCGCACGCGGGGAAGAACCATGATGCTGAGAGTGATGAGGATGAGAATGATGAGGGAGGTCTTGAGGAAGCTATCATGAAGACGAATGCATATGGCAGTACGGTTGCGGAGGTCAGCTCGAGGGCGCTGTATCCGCTGATCTCGGTAGGTCGCGACGCAGTCTCAACAGCAACATGAGTGTCACTGACCTTATCAGCGCATCAATCATGCATGCAACCCAAACTCCTTCGTCCTATTTTCCCGCGCAGGCGTCTCAATGGCCATAAAAGCCTATCGCGACATTGAGGCCGGCGAAGAGATCACCGTCTCTTGTAATCTCCACCCTCTTCCTTCTTGTTTTGGTGCTAACGCCACCTAGACCTCCTCTTGGGCATTCCATTCCAGAAACGGCAATCTTTGATAAAGCGCTGGGGGTTCAAATGCACATGTAGCCTCTGCAGCCTATCAGCCGACGAACGCCAAGCCTCTGATCTTCGCCGCACAATGATCACGCAGGCCGAGGAAAAGATTATGGAGCTAGCGAAGGCCTACAAACTCGATGAAGCTATAGCTCTCGCGGAGGAATCAGTTGAACTGATCAAAGACGAAGGAGTCTGGTCGATGTTGACCGATGAGTATGCCATGTTGGCTATGCTATGGTTGGAGAAGGGCGATAAAGAGAAGGCAGAAGCGTATGGCGAGAAGACGCATAGGTTGTTGTCTGATTTGGGGTTTTTAGGTATTGGAGAAGACAGGGAAGCGTGGAAATTGGAGACGCTGTTAAAGAATATCGGAGGGTTGGGAGGGATCGGTCAGCTTTGGAAGACGGGTCCTTTGAGAGGGTAAGTCAAACGGGAAACGGAATAGAATGGTTGTTTACAATCTAGGTGTTAGGTAGGGGAATAAGAGGGAGTGTTCTTGGTGTCTGGACCTGAGAAAACTAAACACTTCCGTACTTCCTTCTATAATGACTTGTCGTGTCGATCGGTCCTGATCCGCCCTTCTCAACCCAGCCATCCACGCCGGCTAGTCTTCCTTGCGTAGGTGTCGCTGGATTCTCACCGCGCTCAACCATTGGATGGTGGAGACCTACCTTCTGCGACAAAGCGACATGTATCTCATCTGGCGACTTGTTTGCCCATGCTCTCGTGCTCAGATACGAAAGGGGATACAGCGGCATGTTTTCTTCACGACCCATAAAGTCATTGACGAGAGGTGCAACGCGCGACATGATAATGTCAAGGTCTTGGCGGATTTGCTGGCAGAAGGCGTCGAGTGGTAGGTCATTGACGTCGTGTCCGAAAGGGTCTTCGATCTCACGGCCGATGAAAGCGATACCCAGGATAATGTACGCTGCCACCACACATGCAGGAATTGTGATCCATCCTAAGCTGTTGTAGCATTGGAACGGTAGTAACAGGATATACAGCCATGTGACCTGAGATATGGCGATGGAGTACGCAAGTGGAAGCGGTGTGTTCAGGATTCTCTCCGTGCCACACGACACCTCGTCCATGATTGTCAGCGAGTCCAAAGTCTGGGTTTGGTAGATGCTGTAGTCTCTCAACGTGCCGTTGTCGTATAGAACTTTCATGTACGCAGAGAGGTGAGATAAAATCTCAAGGGGTAGGTCACCGAGAGGTACGCGCGATTGCTTGACGTGTTTGCGTGGGTTGGGCGTCGCCATGGGCATGCCGAGTAGCTGACAAGTCCGCCTGAAAGCGCTCGGAGGGTCGGGCGCAGGCATATCCGCTGCTTGCGCAAAGGTATCCAAATGACCGACCAGGTGCTTCAGATCCTCGTAATGCGTTCCTGGCTCGAACCGCAATTTATGTTTCACTGCGACAGCGAAAGCCACAATCAGGTTCAGGCAGCCGACCTTGCCGAGTAGATCTTGCTTCCCCAACCCTGCATCAGCAGCATGCCTCTCTTCAGCGTGTATCCATATCAGACGAGCCAAGATGTGCGATGCGAGTCGGAGGCGCCCCCAGAGCTGTCGACCTTGGAAGTAGCGGTCCATCGAGGTAGAACTGCGGACGCTGAGGGCCAGACTGACGACAAAGCCTAGTACGGTGATGAAGACTTGGTCGGTCCCAACTGCATCATGTTAGGATAGGGCTTTGTGGTACAGGAGAAAGAGGATGTGGCTTACGGTCATATACAAGCTTCGAGATGCAGGTAACGGCGGTGGCCCACCCGCCTACCAGCAAAACGGGTATAACAAGCTTAGGTGTGATGCTGCCGTGGAGTCGCAGCATCATCGGGAACTTCGAGTGATGGCTGAGGTCGCGCGGCCCCATCTACGCTCCTTAGCAAGTTGCGCATCCATACGCTGCTTGATCCTCTGCAGGTAACATACGAAGTATCCATCGCTAGACGATCTCGGCATGTTTCTTCACTCGTGTGGATAGGAGAGATGTGAATCGCGGCGATGCGTGATTAGACGAGTGTCGAGGAAGCTTAGGTGAGATAGGATAGGATCTGTGTGGGAGTGTAGCGACATGGCTGTGCGATCGTTTCGACGGCGTTGTGGCAGTCATCTGTAGGAGTAGCAGGTACAATGTGTGGCGCAAAGCTACTTGCCCTTTCCCTGTGTTACATGAAGGTAGCGCCTACCTGCAGATGAAGTAAGTTCGGTGGCACCGGCGTCTTCTTCGAAGTCTGCAAGAAACATTCGTCGCTCGCACAGAAGCAGACGCGTCATGTCTTAGGTGGTGATGCGGCCGGCAATGTATGTATGAGTCTGTCCTGGTTGCGGACCTTCATCTTCTCAGTGTCGATTGGCAGACCTCGTACAATAGCGGAACCATACCCGCGACTGCTGCTAGCATGGCATACGCGCAGCGAGGGAGCGAGGAAGTTGTGAGAGGCGTCGCTGGTGTGAAGAGGCATCACGCGTTCCACTTGAGGCCCCACTTAATGACGTCACGCGCTCCGAAGCTCGCGTCAAACTTCACGCGGACGAACCTCAACTACCCAAATGCTACTCACTACGCGCACCACATCTTCACGATACTCTTACTTCCAACAGAATCGCAGCAAGTGAATTCACAACTGCGATTGATGCTCATGATCCGTAACGAGCCGGCGCGGCACAGTCTCGTTATGTACAGCCAGACAAATCGGCCGTCAGCCTCAAAAGTTGTATTGCGTCACTGATATTAGGCATAGGACCTAGCCAAAGCGCCCAAGTCTGCAGGGACAAAGGATCGATTTTTCAAAACTATCAAGCCCTCTTTACCACCCGCTCCAAGGGAGAACGCTGTGCACCAAACCTGGTTGCGACGAGCGGAAAACTGAACTCACAAAGGGACAACCACACATACCATAAGAGAAGCAAAGCAAATATTACCGCAGTGAGCATACCATACGCCTTCCCTCACCTGAGGAAATGCGAAATCACGAACCGAATCAACACCGCGCCTCAAAGGTCACTGCGTCTAGGTCCTCCGGGTGCGGCTTTTCTGCGGCTCCTCTACATCGGACGCGTCCTCGGAACTGTAGCGAGTACGCTTGCGACTAGTTGCCGGCGTAGGCGCCACTACGATGGTCAGTGAAGTTCATGGTGCCTGATGATAGACCTACAAGTCTGCTTTTCCTTCCCGGGCTTCTTGACGAGCCGATCTTCGCGCTTTCGGCCAGCAGTAAGGTCTTTCTGACGCTCGTCGTTCTGTTGGCGGTTGCTCGAGCTGATATGGAGAAGAGTATCCGGGCATAACACGTACTCCTCGACACATCCTCCACGCAACAGCTTGTCGACACGGCTCTTGTAGGACTTCAACACTACGACAAGTTTCGAGATACGCTCCTCGAACGTGAGCTTCCGTGATTTCTCGCAGCGATCGATCATGACAGGATCCAGGATCGAAACGAACCCTGCGCCTTCTCGATAGATGCGTTCGGTTGTTTCCTTGTTCATGTTAGCGCCGGTAATTGCGTATGCTATAGCGAAACTGACCAAGATATCCCAGCAGAGACGCTCTTTCACCCAAGGTTTGTACACTATATTGCTAGCGATCTTCTGTGTGCGTTTTGTCTCCCCAGCGTTTCCAACCCCGTCTTTGCTCGATTCTCCTGCACTCTCTGCCAGCCAGCGCTTCTTGAGCATGGGGCTCGACATCTTGTCCTGGATGTCGCTGGTGTCTTGGATAGCTGTGAAGAGCTTACGAACAACTGCTATCCGCTCTTCTTTGGTGTTTGGGAGAGTCTCGTCCTCACGAGGTGGCCAGTCCAGTCCCCGAGCTTTCTGGCGGGCTTCGGTGACTTCGGTGAAGTACAGGCCGAACGAGTTCAGCGGCAGTGCTTGTCGCTTGGTCTTCTTCGCATTTACGTTGGTCTTCATCTTTGTCTTGTGAAGCGAATCACGGCGCTTAGTTCCGTTCACCGCAACGGGAGGTTTCTCTTCCTCTTCCTCTTCGATTTCCAGAATCCTACTCTTGGTCTTGGTCTCTGCCTTTCTGGACTGAACTGGACTGTGGACCACGGGCGCCTCTTCGGACTGTCGACTCGCCCTACTTCGCGGAACATACTCTTTCCAACGGCGATTGTTGTCGCAGTGACCAGCAGAGATTGCGTCTTCGAGCTGCGATTGGCGGAGTGTTGAGGCCATCAAGACTGCACCTTCGGGCGAAGCGGGAAGGGATTGTGGAAGCCCTGTAATAGGACCAGCATCATGGAAATTCTTGAAAGCAGACACTTGGTCGTTGTCGTCGAATGGCCAGGCCTCGCTGCCCCAATGAGTTGGGTATGATTGACGATGAAATGGTCCGTGCGTTGTCGCGATAGTGGCAGTCTGACCATACCACATCGGAGGCGGGCAGATAATGTATTCTGATGAGCCTTGAAAATACTGGGGCCTCTGAAGCTGACGATTTAGAGCGACCTGCGACGCTTCCCACTCATGGACATGATGGTCTGGAGGCATCATTCGCGCATCGCCTTGATCAGTGCCGCACATGTCCCATCCGCCTTGATCTTGGGGGTGATAAACACTTGAAGATTGGCTGAATGGGGCAATATCGGTCTGCGATGATGTTGTCACGGAGGACGAAGCGGTTGAAGGAAGCATTTCGACAGCGATGTAAGTGGTGGCCAGTAGTGAATTGGGTTGGCGATATCAATATCGGACTTGTTCACGATGTAGAAATACGGGGTTTAATCAAACATTGCGTATATAGAAGTAGTTGTGTTGTCTTATTTGCGACTACCCGCTGACTAGTACTGGTCGGGTGGCGCTCTGACCAGTGTGATGTAAGAAGAAGGTACACTGAGCACGACCGCGGCAATGACAAGCACCACATCGCTGCGTCTGAAGAGCTATGCAGAACTATGTTGAGATAGAGACACTGCGGCTCAATGTATTGACAACTTCAGGTATCTTCACACGGCTCTACAACCTGCTATATGTATTGTTCCAGCGCGGCGACGGTCTGGAGAAAAGATCACGTGGGAGCGAAGGCTCTTGACCCCGTGCTTGAGAACTCAGTCGTCCCTGACTTCTCCACAAATGGCCACCTGGGCACTGACGTAAAGTCACGTGGGAAATTTGTTCGATGTGACAATGTCGAAATGGTCGCATCCATAGCTCTAAGTATGGCAACGACCGAGCTCTAAGCTAAACTCCAAATCGGACTCCTTCGGAACCATATTCGCCTTGCAACCGCCGCCGGACATACTTGTCACGATTTTACTGCTACTGCCCGATGTATGAATTTGTTTAAATACACGAATATTTCGAGCTGTAGAGCTGTCGCATACGATCACTGCCCGATGTATACTGAGCGCTCTGCTAAGGTCTCTCATCCGTTGGTCCGATCGCTCGCCGGAGTTTGGGTGGCAGATCTAGTGCCCATGGTGCTACCTGGGCGGTGACCTTCCTCATACTGGAACTTCTCAAAGCTCTCATCACCCCGAGAACGCGCATAATTATGAGAGCGCTTAGCTGCAGGCTCCATCTTGTATCCTCCGTCACCATCTGCCGGACGCTTCCCGGGTGCTGCTGGTCCACCAGGTGGCTTTTGACGTGGACTGAACGTACCTGACTGACCACCCGTAGCCATATAGTTGTTGAACAGCGACGGCAACATACGTACATGCTTCAGAAGCTGCTCTTGTTCCTGAGGAGTCGGATGCCTAAGACCCTGCGGATACGGATGAATCTGAGTCTGTACTATGCGCTGCTGGTCCGACATAGTCGACCACTCTTCTTCGAACCGCGGTAGATGACGGAGGGACGTCAGCGGCAAGGCGACGTACTTGGCAATATCCCTCCCCAACATTACATTATCAGCCGCGACTTTGGAGTGCCAGAACAGCCGCGCGAGGTAATGAATCCGCTGTGGAAAAGTAAAATCCATATCCTCCGCGTTCAGCGACTCAAACTCTTCGCATCGACGAAACGGCAAGCCAGCGACACCCATTTTGTGGATGCGCATAGCGTTGCTGACGATGATGTGGGCGGTCGCCTCGATGTCTCTGGGATCAGCCCATGTACCTGTGTTGGAGAACTTGACGGCGTAGGGATATACATCTGCGACTGTATCCCATAGGTTGGAGAGGTTGACGAGACCGAAACAGATCTTCTTGACATAATACGATTTCTCAGCTTCGTTTTGTGGTACAGCGTAGGCGCCAGTCGACGGTCGCCATATGATTTCTTCTAGGTAAGACGCGACAGCCGCGCCAGTGGGTAATTCGAGTTCAGCGAACGACGAGATCGAGTAGGGTTGTAGTAATGGTCTTGATGGGCTGGGTGTGGGACACTGGTTATGCATCTGATCGAGGTCGATATCGAGTTGGGGTAGCCAGGAGTTAGGTACCGCGGACGTATCGGTCAAGAGATTTTGCTTGTAATCTTCTCGATAGCGGGTATACGGGGTTGCGATCGGGCGTTGGGGTGGGCCCGGGTTGAACGGGTGAGAATCTGATAGGGTCGCCCAGGGTGGGTAGCCTGCCTGTGATAAAGCTTGAGAGTATCGGCGAGCGTCCATAGGTTGTGCGAACCCAGTGGGCTGTCTGTTAGACAGTGTTGGTGTGATCCAGCCTTCCTGCTGTCATGTTAGTTGAAGCATCTTTTACACTGATCATGCAGATACTTACAGTCTTTGGTGCCTGATTTACCAAGCTGGGACTCGTGGTGGGATAATTCGGTTGACCCATAGGCGAGAACACGTTGTTCCTTGACGTTTGAGCACCATTTGGTCGGACGTTGGGGCTGTATGCGAACTGCTATACGTTAGTTGCTATATTATTTGGTACCCAAGGAGCGAAAGCTTACCACGTCATCAGCTGAAACGTTCTGGTTACGCTGGGAGCCTGGGCGACTGCCGCTGAAGTCATTGTGACCTTGCGCCATAACAGAGTGCGATCTCGTGTTCAAGCGCGATACGTCACCTCGATCACCGGGTATCTGCGCGGGCTCTTTCTTGTTGTTACGCGGACCGACCATTTCGAACGTCTTGGAATAGTTGAGCGGGGGTGTCTTGAAGAGGTCTTCCAATGTCACAATGCGATATATCATTGCTCCAGGCTACACGCCAAGGCTCGTGCCTAGACGCACGGGGTAATTCGGACAGAGATGAGTTAGCGTCATATCAAATGTCTGCTACGGCTTCACGCGCTCAGTGAGCATGATTGCGTGATATCGTAGTACGTCACCGGTTCTGGGGAGTTGGGATGATGAAAGTACGGGGTTCCATTGTGATTGTGACTCTCATTCTTAGAGAGGACCTAATCCTGTAGTAGAGTAGAGTAGAGTATGAAATTTGAAAGTCATCGAGCCGTGCGTGGTTGATTTCGTCAGCGTGATGCCATGGTAGGACTTGAGTTCAAGTAAAGCGACGTCAGATTTGTAATCACCTTTTTTCTAATCAAGATGCGAGGTCAACGAGTCAAGATGTAAAAAAAGATGATATTCCGATAATCCCTGGATTGCTCCTTGCGTCAATCTAAGGCCTTGTGTATAGGCAACCACCATGTGCGATCTCGTCAAATTATCAAAAGATGACATCGCTCAACCGCTCACCAATTGCAGGAGCGCTCGCATATCCAATCCCTCGCCAAAGACCAATACGCCGACACCAAGGAAACAACTTCATGGGTATAATATAATCATGAGAAACATAAATCGGTCGTTCGCCGTTGCTTTACCACTTATCACATAACAGCGCATCCCATCTTCTTCTTCCCCTTGGCCTTCTTCTCTCCAACAAGGACGCCATCCATCCTGGAACTGCGCCCAGTACCTCCACTCCCACCGAGGAGATCGCCCACACTCTGCGACGCTCGATGCACACCAGCTTGCTGTGGCCCGTAGTAACTCCCATAGGGGTGGTTGTACTGCGCACTCTGATCTGTCCTCGGCGGCGCACTGATGGGGAACCTTTGCCCGGCTGAGAACTGTTGGTCTGGAGCAGCCAGAGGTGGCAGAGTGTTCCTTGGCTGACTTGAGTTGTTGACTGGCGGTGCAGGGTAGGGCATACTCATGCGTGGGCTGCTCATGGGTAGAGGACGGCGCTGGACAGCTATGTTTGGAGCCGAGCCGCGGCGGGAGGCTGGAATACTGGGGACGGGTGGAGCGTAGAGATCGAGGTTATCGTGAGGAACGCGTTAAGTGCGCCCATTTGTGGGACGGCGGGTGGGCATGTGGGAAGCGGTGTTCGGGTATACGGATTGGGGTTGCGGTAAGGGCGCATACGACATTTGTTCCGATGGTGATCGGGTACTTGATCGCCTCCGTCGTATCGAGCCCGAAGATTGGGGGCTGGGGTATGTGGATGGATGCAGCAGAGATGGGCGACGCCCTGGGTCTGCAGCTGGAGGTGATGATACGTCGACGGAAGATATCGATTGTTGGCGCTGATGGTAAGGGTGCGACGGAGACATTTGAGAGGGGTTAATGGTTGCGGACATGTTTGGTAGTGGAGGAACGGGCGGTATGGAAGATGATGAATGAGTATGAGGTAATCGAGGTACAGGCGGTGCATCCGGATGGCTCAGGCTGACACTCTCTGCTGCTGCTGCGGTGGTCGTATATGCTGGCGGAGGTGGCACCCAGTTGTCGGCGTCACTTTCGTGTGGCAGCTCTCGATGACCGTCTGCACGACGGTACTCCAGGGGTCTGAAAGGCAGAGCGCGCAGATGCCGACGGTTCGCAGGTGACACGGCCGCGACGGTGGCAGCCCTAGCTAGAGACATCTGAGATCGAGGTTGTTGGTTATCATACGGAGCTTCAAACATTGCCTGTGCCTCTTCCAGTGTCAACTCCTCCGACTCATCGGAAGGCAGTGGTGGTCTTGGCGCATTCCGGTTCGCAGAAGTACGCGCCCGCTGAACAGGCGTAGTTCCGATTCTTGATGGTCTTCGTGCAACAATGTCATTTCGATCCTGGGCTCTGCGCTGTGCCATGGTCCTGGTTCGTACCAGTTCCACCTCGCGATCAAAGTCAATCGAGCCTTCCGGTAGCATCTCACCTGGACAAAGGGGATCTAAGTCGTATTCAGTCTTGAGCGGCGTTGGGGGAGCGCTTCCCAGGGGCTTTGTCTTGTCGAAATCCAGGACTATCAGAACGCCTTTGGACCCCAGTGGCGCCCCAGGCACATCATTCTCATCAGGTAGTATGCTCGAGTTGCCGACGGCCACAAGTCGCTGCACATTGGCGTTTAGCCTAACCCATCTGAGCACGCATATTTCTTGCAAAGTGCCTGCGTTGTCGTTCGGGATGGGAATGCAAAAGCAAGGCTGAATCGGAGCATCCACCTTGGTCTTTTCGCTCGGCTTGTACTCCCAACCTGGCACTTCGTAAATCCAGATGTTGGTGGTACCGCGCATCCGCAGGGCAACAGCGGCAAGGTCAGCATTTGGAGAGACAGCAGGCATGGCATCGTCAACAAACTCCGAGCGCGTCCACCTCGCGTGATCCGGTAGGAACATCTTCCTCTGTGTGAAACGTTGGCATGCAATGTCGTAGATGCCCCATGAGTCCTCCTCGGCATTGAACGCGAATAGTTCGTTGAACGTACCCGTGTCAGCATCTGGAAGCAGGGTAGCTTGGCGTGCTATTCTTGCCGTCTCAGGAAACAGCACCGAGCCGGTCCATGCAGCTTCCGGGGGTTGTGGAATCGGCTCGCCCTCTTCTGTAAGCGGACCATCGTAGAGACCCGGTAGGACGAACAAGGCCGAGCCATCCGACTTCCTCGCATACCCCGTTATGAGCAGTGTGCGCCCATCGTCCGAGAACTCCAATGCATCACCGGCGGGTCCAGAAAGCGTACGTCGTGTCGTCTCGGGTACTTCTGGCCCAATGGCAATGACTTCGATGCCGAACTTGTTGCCCGTAATTAAGATGCGCGCGTCGGGTGATATGACGATAGAGCTAGCCTCGTGCACCAGCATGATGGTCCGCCTCTTCTTGATCTGATTATCGCCCTCGCCGTGTATTTCGTATAGATCGACTTGTGAAGGTCTCGATAGCACGGCCAATAGAAAGCCGTCTTCAGTAATGTCGATTGCGACGGGCTTGCGCTTGACCTGCAGTGTCCTTGCCCATAGTCGCGGCAGCTGCACGGTCTTGACCAAGAACAGATTCGACGCCGAGTATACCGCTACATATCCACCTTTTCGTGACACATTCACATCGAAGCTATCAGGGAGCGCGGACGAGGACGCAGTGTTGGAGACGAGTTCGAGGAGGGTAAGGCTGGGGGCCGCATAGGACGGAGTGGCAATGGGGGTATCGTCATTCGGCCGATCGTCGTAGGTAGTGGCGGATGTCATAGCCGTCGAGTGGCCTGACGAGGAGATAGTGTCGGTGTTAGCAATCGACGACGCAGAGAGCAGCGTGTTCACGTGCTCGTAGCCCTCCGAGTCTTCAGAGCTGACGGATGTGGTGCGCGCGCGCTCGTCGTAGGCCGCCCGTTTTCTTTGAGCGCTGCCCTCATCGCTGGCGAACGCGACGCCCTTTCCCCTTCCTTCCGTTGAGGGCGCCGTGCTGTCGAGTTGCGCTCCCGAGTTGAGATGGTGTGAAGGGCTCCCCACCATGGTAAGCCTGATCGCGCCTTCCTTGCGTGTGCAGATGTGGTAAGAGCGGGTGCGAAGAGCGTCAAGTGGGCGTCGGATGCGGCTCCATGAGGGTGCCTGTGGTCGCTTGGGTCGTCTTCAGCTGGGACCAAAGCAACATGGGAGCATTGCGATTACTACTAAGGCAGCTTGGAATGTAGAGGTGTCTAGCGGGCGCTATTGCTGCAGCCAGACACGCTCGGCCAGGGTCACGTTCCTCGTTCAAGCCTGGCCTATACCCGATCTGCCGCTAAGTCCTAGTCCGCTCCCATGCTCCGATGCTATTAACAGCAACACACGGCGCACACAGTCGCCTCGCCCTTTCGTATCCGATAATCCTGCAAAATCTCTATCTACCTCCTACTGACCGCCATGTCGGCCATGCAAGATGCAACACGCCGTGGTCTCCGGTGCGACCTTGACTTGTTTCGCGACACGCTGTCACATCTGTCCACCCTGGATAGCGCCATGCGACATTGTGGAGGCTGAGCTGTTCTGGCGGACCGCCTTTGGGGCCTGGCTAACTGAGGCTAACACGCTGGCGAATCGTGGAGAGCTGGTTGCCCTAGTCGCGCCCTGACGCTTGCAGCAACGAAACGCGAGAGGGCTGGTGGGGCAGACAACTGTCGCTACACCCCCTGCAAGGCCATCCTTTACCTCTCGCTATAGGGCAGTATGTCGCCATTTGGGTGTGGTAGTAGTACAGCGTCTTCTGCCTGCAGCAGTGTGCCTTTCAAGGTTACAATCACGGATGTCGAGTTGAGTCCTCCAATTTCCGCTACTTGCGCACTCCGACAGCGGAGAACAGTCTTGCCGTGGTTATACTTTTTTCCACTGGCTGTGAGATTGTCGCATGCGATACTGCAAGTAGAAGCTGATGATGATATAAGATTATACGCCATGTACGCCGTGTACATTGCTTACTAGGACGTAAATCTCGCTCGTGACCTCCTTACCGTCAGCGGCACATCATCGTTGCCGGACGCCACTACGACTGGAATAGCAGATCGCGCATCCTCAGCTCTGGTTAAACCGGGCGAACGACGTCGGGAGTACAGTCGGATACATGTGCATGATAAGATAACCGCGATCGAGTATACAAACATTCTGCTGTGAAGCAACGCCCTGATGATCGTGGAATCGTTGCCTGTCCAGGTTCTCCACACCATACAGGCTTTCCACTTGGCAAGACATGGCGCATGCCCGATAGTCTCCCTAGCTCGGTGGTTGTTTCTTTGGTGTGGACGTGAGGGATATACAACGATGCTGCTATGTGACATCCTACCTCGTCCTACGGTGCCGAATGTGCATGGCGGAAATTCTGGATCCTGTTTTTTTCCACCTCTTCCTCTGTATATGAAGCATGTACCTATCGTGAAATAAGATATAATATCCGCAGGGTTTACCAGTCCCCTCCACTCGTTTGCGCAAATGGTCGCAAGTGTATCACAACGCGAGCGTCCATCTTCGTACGGGATCCGATGTCTGTTCATTAGAACAATAGCCAGCCGAGATAGTATGAGCCTCCGCAGCTGTCCACGACCGAAGAACGCCTCATGTTGCATGTGCTGGAGACCTCATTTGCCGCGAGGGGACGTTGCGCGTGCCAATGCTTGTGCGATGTTCGTAATGTGAAGATCGATCAATTCGGCGTCTGAGTGCTAGCCAAGAGAGCGCATGCAGCTCCTCGATGCAGCAATGGCAGACGAGCGTGACCAACAGTTTTCTGTGACTTGGTTTAGCGACGTCTTACATTCGCTTGGAGGGCTCATAATGGGTTGAAGTATCGTAATTAGCATAGCTTTTGTAGCTCGGTGGCTGGAGTAGAGTTTGAGTGCGTAGGACAACCTCCGGCATGACTATGGAGGATTGGGAACCAAAATAAGCGCAATGGTGCCCTCACCAGTTCGAAAGCGTAGTGTCATGGAAGGAAGCCGATTCGGCGCTGCGTGAAGCTCCACGAGGTGCGACTTCCAGAAGCTGGTTGGCGGCATCGCCGGAAAGCGCCTCGGTGCCACATGCAATTGTCGAATTAGTCATTGGTGATTAGGGTCCAAGGCTACCACGATTGCGCCGCCACCCGCGATCGCGCTCGGAATCGCGCCCGTCGCTAACTACATCGTCTTTACCATCTTTACAATCTCGCTTTCGCCAAATTCTCGCCAAATACCTGCGCGGAGAAACTTGAAATGGAATTAGCCTGCACACATGCAGCCCCTCCGGACTTATATTCGGTGCTCGACGTCAAGTGTTTAGCCTGATTCAGTACAGATGATCGACCCGAAGAGCAACTAACGGTCGGGACAATGCGACGTTGCGTCTGAACATTCAAACTCTGACAAAATGATCCTCAAAGGCTACATTTTCAGAAGTTGGATCGAATGTTCTTTCGCACACCTTCATGAGAAAGTCGGCCAATCAATACATGATAGAAGATGCTAAGTTTCACTACGACAGCTAGCACCACTATCTCGACCAACATCGTGGTGTGATCGACATACCCAACTGCGAGCCCCTGCAGCGGAAGAACAATCACCTTCAGCCTGCATCGTCAGGCACATTGCCTGTGCCTGAAAATTTTACAACGACATGAACACCGCGTCCTCATTGGTACAAACGCGCATCTCCGACAATTGGCTTTGAACCCAACCTGCCACGACATGACCCTAAAGTATATCGCAAGCTATGATCGGTGTCATTTGGGTCAACGCTCGAAGTTTATTACTAGAGTATGCCCCACGCCACCATGGGCCATGCTTGTTGAAGCTTGACATACTCCTAATATACGCCGCGGTTCCGCTCGATCCACTGTCTGCCTGAAATGAGCATCAATGCCCCGTCACTCGCAAACGACATGTTGACAGGAGAGTCATGGCAACACCACCACCACCAGATCCTCACTTGATTCCTGCGCCTCCCTCAGCGGCAGCGCTGAGGAGCGGGAAATCAATCGCCGGTGCGACGCTGGCCCTTCAAACCATCGCTCTGATTGTCTTTGGAGCACGCATGTGGTCACGATGGATGCCTGTATACAGAATGCAGTGGGACGATTACACCTGCGCTTTGGCATGGGTAAGTAGCAGCTCATGTTCCCTAATATACTCACGATATCGGGTCGACTGACAGAATCAGATCTTGATAGTGGTTAACACATGTCTTCTCCTTGCCGCCACGCCGTATGCTTTCGGTCTCCCACCGGACGAGTTCTTCCTGTCAGATGCGCAAGCTGCAACCAGATTAGCGTCTATCTCTCAACCAATCTGGGGATGGTCTATGGCCTTGGTCAAGATATCCTTCTCCCTGATGCTTCTTCGGATCTCTCCCTCGCAATTCATGAAGCGCTTCCTCTGGTCCATGATCGGTCTACAGATCATACTTGCGGTCTACAACACACTAGCAACACTACTGCAATGCATACCGGTCGAGAAAGCATGGGACTTACTCGGTACAGTAGAAGGCCATTGCTGGAGCAGGACAGGAGTCAGGATAAGCTCGATCGCCGTCTCCGTCGTCCATATCCTCACCGACTTCATACTCGCCCTTCTTCCTGTATCCTTCCTTCGTGGGATACAGCGTCCTGTTCGCGAACGCGTTATCGTCGGCGTACTTATGGGACTCGGCTTCTTCACGGGTGTGGCATCGATCTTGAAAATTATCGCTGCTATGAACTTTGGCAAGACGGGCGATCCGATGAACGAAAGCATCATTGTCGGCATGTGGTCCGCTATCGAGGAGCTCGTGGGATTCATCGTCATCTGCATACCGACTCTACGCTCGCCGTTCCAACATGTACTGCGTTACCTCGGCGTCGCCAGTGTTCGCATCAAGAACAACGCGTTCTCCCGCGGCTACGGACGTACACAAGAGTCGGAGGTCAACAGGAACAACTTCCGAAGTCAAAGCCAGAGTCGTCTTGCCACTGTCGAAGGAGACGAAGAGTCCGGCTTCAAATTGAAGGAGTTGCACACGGAGGGGTCAGAGGGATCGTCGGACGAGATGCATTGGCGTGCGAATGAGAGGAATACAGGTAATGGCGAGATATGGTGCACGCATGAGGTCGTAGTTCAGCGAACCTCTCTTAGTGGAAGGCCATCGCTTGATCAAGTTCATGAAGGCGCGGATGCGTCTTGGAAGGGCGAACCACTGGAGTTTGACTTGGGCATGGCAAGCAGGCACTTAAGTCGTTAATGAGGAGAGTGTTAATGACCATGTTGCTGATCACACAAGGGAAAGATGGCAGACGTCTGTTTGTTTATTCCAAGCGAGTGTACGAGCTACATGAGAAAAACCTAGTATAATACTCCCACAAATATCTCTCATCGTGAACTAGAGGACGACCGACCAAATGAGAATCCAAGGTGTTGAACCACGTTCTCAATAGGTACGAAGCGCACTTAGTTGCGCCCAGGCAAGCTGCGGCCCCTGAGACTGAAGCGGTTGGAGTTGATCTGCTCAGCGTTGACATCAACCTCACAGCGCAACTTGCGATATCCCTGAAAATGCGAAGACACGAAGTCAGTGTATGTCTCACATATAATCTGTACGGCCACAACTTACCTCCAACCTATCGAAGGTCAGGCCGCACGTCAGGAACGCCGCAGGCCACGCGTAGCACCTTCCAACACGAACATCATTCGTGTCCACTAGATCGCCATCGCCGCGGTCACGGTAGTAAGCTAGATCGCGCAAGCGTGTGTTAGCCTCACAATCTCCCTTTCCCAAATTTTTATTGCACACCAAGGGTAAGAGGACACTTACTCCAGTGATACCCCTCGAAATTCATCTCGAGGACATCGATCTTGGCAGGATCACTGTCGTCAGAGCGGCCGCAGCCGTCACCTTCGCAGCGGACGCCACGGCCACTCGCGTCGTCGGTGTCGGGCCAAATCCAATCTAGGACAGTGTCGCAGTTGGCTTCGTCTTGGTAGACTTGCCAGCCTTCGACGTTTGCGGTGATGCCGTTGCCGCCGATGCCTACGCGGTAGATCTCAAAGTCGGCGGTGACGGCGCTCAGGAGAGAGGCTGTTGCCGCAAGGGTGGTGAGAAGGTACTTCATTGTGGATTGGGTTGATTGAATGAAGAGATGAGGGTCTGAAGGTGGATGGATTGAGTGACTGTTGAAAGTAGGAGCGGACCCTCGTGGTCTTTTATATGTTGGCATGTGCTCCAGAAAACTCTTAAGTCCGCTCCGCAAGAGAACTGTCGACCACACCGGTGTTGCCTTTGGTCATCATAATGTCTGCTGTCTCAGGCGTCGTGAGCATACAATTGGATATCTTTCTCACGATCGTTGGCTTCTGCAAGGTTCGGTTGAATACACTGTTGAAGAAGTGGAGTCGTGAGACATGCCCAGATGGAGTGAGTAGTTGCCATCGTATGAGAACAATCTCGTAAAGCTTGGCTACAGAAGCTGACGTGTCGACCTGAGGTAAGTATGACGGATTTGAAAATGAGTGCAGGCCCTTGACAGTCGCCAGAAAGAAGACCCTATACTCTTCGTGTGTATGCTTAGAGGCAGTTTGCTAATACTCAACAAACCACAACTTAGAAACCTTCGCCTACCAAGCCCAAGGCACGAACTCCAGACTTTGCCACGAGAACCATCCTATTCAAACAACTACTCTCACCGTTTCAACTCCATCACCACTCCATAAGCCATCCCGCCAAGCTCGATCACCGTCCAAAAGTCAGCATGCCAAGTACCGCACAACAGCCCACAAAGGGACACATAATGCAGTTCAAACTACGCCTTTGCTACACAAGCTTACTAGATTAGCTAAACACTATGCCCCAACGATACACGGCCAGCTCATTGCGGATACATCGACATCCATTTGGAGGGAAAGGGCATTGCGTTGACACATCAAGCCAATCACTCTGCTGCTTTGGTACAACGGGTGCGGTCCGTTCACTGGATATATCCGCGAAGCATCACTTGGCAGGGCGGATATATTTTTGACTGCCAAGAGTCGTTCGCGAGTGTAGGTGGGTGTAGGGTTCATGTGCTTCGCGCGTGTATTCGGATTGGACCCTGAGCCCGGGCATTAGGCAGTAGATCAAGTCAGGATTATTTGCTCGTTACTATACGGGCGTCACCAACTGAAAGACGTGCTTCGAATAATAGATCACAGCGGCGCGATCGCATGGTTGGGACCGAGGTTTTGAGTCTCGAACGTGTGTTGAACGATCATTTCATAGGCCTGGTATGCTCGATTGGTGATCTTGGCAACACAGGTTGCTAGTGACGAATGATGGATTGAGAGACTACACTTTCAATGTCAGCCCCGTCTGCTTCTCATTTAGCCAGTAAGACTATATGAGAGGAACATGCGTAAACCTTTTTTGTCTGATTTGTCATGATTTGGAGTGTGATGTGCGGGGCACAGTTGGCTGGAGCGCAATGTTACCAGTGTTCCCGTCTACTATTCATTAGACATCACGTAGGGGGAAAGTGACTAAAGGGTATAATCGATTCCATTACGCATCACAAAAGGTCCTTTTGGGTAAGCAATCGCGCCGACGACTATGCAAAACACTCGCATTCCACTCTAGTTACAACCGCCCTCCACACACGCACACAATCAACGCACAGATTCGGAACCAAACAAGAAGGCGACACCCTATGAGTGAACACCAGGAGTATCATCGAAGAGAAAGGAAACCAATGCTAGTCATAACATAATAACATATCCGGGGTACGGAAATGCGCTTATAGCATGAAAGCGAAAGCGGCAGCGGCACCAGCGAAGCTGAGCGCAGCCTGGACACCGGAAGCAGCGTTGGTGGTAGCCTCAGGGAGCCTGGAGGTGGTAGCGTTACCACCGGCAGTGGGCATGGGGACGGTGCCGTTGGCGTGGACACCAGTGCTGTAGGCAGGGACCATGGCGGAGGTCATGACGGTGGTTGGGTAAGGAGCCTCGCTGGAGTGGACGGAAGATGGCAGAGGGATGGGAGTGTGGCTAGCGGCGGCAGATGAAGCACCGTATCCGTTTCCGTAGCTGGCAGCGGGGGTAGAGCTGGCGGCAGCGGCGACGCTGCTGGGCTCGATCATGGAGGAAGAGACGGCCTCCTCGCACTTTCCAGCGGAGATACCGAACTGGGTGGAGTACTGGTACTGGCCGGTGACATCGTCGATGATCTGGATACCGTATCCGTTGGGGCCGTTGGTAGCCTCGAGGGTGGAGGCAGGGGTCCAGCTGAGGGAACCGCTGTTGGAGATACCCTCAGCGATGGAAGGACCGAACTTGACGACGTTGGTGGAGGGGCCCTTGAGGAGGAGGACGGAGACGGTGTTGGGGGTAGTTGGCTGCCAGGTGATGGTGAACTGCTCGCAGGTGGGGACAACCTAGTGGGGCGCATTAGCTTCCAGGGTCTTGTTTGGTTTCGCGATGCGCGCGCAACGCTCAGGGATGCAAACATACCTCGTTCAAAGGACGGGTGATGGGGTTGCCACTGGGCTCGCCGACGGGAGCGTGGATCTGGGCAGCGGCGAGGCCGGCGAAGAAGGTGATGATGGTAGCCTTGGAGTACATGTTGATGGTTGTTGTGGTGGTATTAGGTGATTAACCGGGGTAGATGGAGTATTAAGTAGTGGGAGATGGTTGGTAATGAGTGACTGGTTTCTTAAAGAAGGGCTGAAAACAAAAGTCTTCTGAGGGCTGCAAGATATCTAGGCGAAGGTGAGCAGTAGGAAGAAACAAGACAAGAGGGAGTCAGTCGAACTATATCGATTTTCCCATCCACAAACGGTCAATGCAGGTACCCCTGTTGCCGGCGCAACTTAAGATTGGTGCTCCAGTCCCGTGCAATATCCTTCGGAGCCAGCACTAGGCCGCATTGCACCGCGCTTGGGCACGCGTGACGAATGGCACCGCGACGAGGGATTTAGGCAGCTCGTATTGCAGTGGATTGCGGCGTCTTCAGGAGTGCTTGGTGGCTTTACCGGTCAGCTTGTTGGACGCTGGTGCGGGCTATTCCTGGCTGCTTGGAGATTGCTTCTGTCGCTACTGTCTGCGGGTGCCTGAAAGTTAGGAGCGTTGTTCCTGTCAGCCGGCAGACTGTCAGCAATATCGGCGCTTACACAGCCCTAACAGCTGAAGGGCCGACAGCTCAACGCCGAAGAGATGAGAGTCGCATTTCATCGCGGTGTTTGAGTTTGCGGTGAGGCGGTGTCACGATGCGCGGGCGAGGGTTCTCCAGATTCTCGCAAGCCGTGGAACGCGATCTGCTTGCTTGTGCCCGAGTCGTGCGCTCTAGCTCAGGTACCGTTGCACTGGCGGCCGTCGAGGCGCCACTGGTTCACGAACAGGCCCCGAAAAGGGAGAGTTAGGTTGGCCCTTTGTCGCACCTTCGTGCGCTCTGGCTCGACGCATCGCCGTCTAAGCGAGGCTGCACATCACAGACATTCATCTCACCGTAGGGCAGGCAGGTGCGAGCGAGATGGCTTGGGCCGGGGCGCGGCAACCGCGAACAAGGCCGCCTGCCCGCAAAATCACCGCTTCACCCTTGACAAAGTAATCCAACTCACAGCTCAGACGTGTCACGATAGTTTGCGTTTGTTTCAATTTCTCCATTGCATTGTTGACTCTACTGTTTGTTTATCGTCTCATATTTACATTGCGCCAGGTGCGCCCCTGCCCAGCCAACAGCTCAATGGGCGGTGCGACGGTGACAGCTGTGTCAGCCGATACAAGCATGGACAGCCCTACTGTATGTGGGTGTCCCATCTAGCGAGTGAATGCGTCGTCGGGGTATCTTCGAAGCGGTATGAAATTCGTTACATCATTACTGGTCGGTGTGTCGAGTAGAAGGTGTTGCGGCGGAGCGAGTGTGTGTGCATGAAGGACGGGAAAAAGAGTAGGATCGCGCCAAGTAGACGTTGCATGAACAACGAGGCACTTAGCCACACTGGCCGGGGTCTAGAGGTTGTCAGTTTCATGCTCATGCGACACCAGAAGGAGTACTTACACTTTCGTGCCGTTAGCGGCTGAGGGAAGATACCGCCCTCCAAGAGGGCCTTCATGTCCCATTCGGGTGCACCCTCGGTCTTCCAGGTCCAGAAAATCCAACCGGTGGCCATCTCGTAGGCGTCAAGCTGCGCCTCAATGAAGCGACCGACGTTGTACCTGTCGGCTTCTGACAGGCCAGCAACAGTGCCAGTCGACTTGCCGGTGCAGTCACCGACCTTGGAGCCGCCAAAGGTACCATCGTAACGCGCACCCTTGTCCTTTCCGTTGAGCCACTTTGCGCAGTCGGTGATGCCACCAGTCCATTCACCAGCGATAGTCCACTTGCCGGTGGATGCCATCTGTTTACCGAAGTCGCAAGCGGTCTTGACGTGGTCGTCAATGCTCATAGCAACAGCAGAGTTGTCGAAGATCTCGTAGTGGTGAGTGTCGAGGAGAAGGTTCCACATTCCGGCACCCCAGTTACCCCACGAAGTTACACCCTGGAATGCATCGTGGAAGGTGACTGCAACATTCGAGTCCCTCAAGTTGCCCCAACCATCCATGTAGAATTGTCGGACCGTGTTCATGTCGAGACTGGGGCCCAGAGGCTCGTTGAGAAGCTCGATAGCTGAGACGGCGGGATGCGACGCGTGATCATCGCGTATCTTGTTGAGGACTTTGATGGTGTAGGCCACTGAATCGCCCTGAGTCCAGCCAACGTTGCCGTATTTGCCAGAGTTGTCGAACCCGTTCTGGGATTCGGGTGCGCCATGAAGATCAATCATAACATGGAGACCAACATCGGACGCCCAGTCGAGCGCTTCTCCGAGCTTGTCGTACGCGCCTGGCAGGTATGGGTCGCCGTCACGTGGAAGTACGCTCCAATAGCCAATTGGAATTCGAACGTGGTTCAAACCAGCACCGGCCATCTGTTCGAAATCGGCTTTGGTGATCCAAGAGTTCCAGTGGTCACGCAGCCTCGACTGTGCTTCTTCTTTGCCGACAGCTGCAACGAGTGTGTACTCGTCTTTTGCGCTGTTGCCCTCGAACATGCTGGGTGTGATCCAGGGCTCGAGAACGAACCATCCGCCTGTGTTGACACCGCGGACCTTCTGGTTGTTGTAGTCGAACATGGGTGCGCGCTTGATGGGTAGGAGCGGAGATGCGTTTGTGCTCAGAGCAAGCAGGCCAATGGCCGCCGCTGATGTCCAGGATCCGATCATATTGAGATGAGGAGTGTTGTTACTCAACTAACTGAATGCTGTATAACATGCAATAGTACTCGAAAGGAGTACAGGAAAGGTTGTGTAGCTGATGGACCCAGACTTGAACTTGTGCAGACCCATGGCATCGGGGGAAGGATCTCCTTTTAACCAGAACAAAGCGAAGACTCACAAGCCGCCAACACAGCAACAGATTCGCCCCAATTTTCTTCCCAGTCATGCCCACCATACAAGCATGTGTTCGCTGCTTCACGACGTAGGGATGATCTCCTTTCCCGGAGCTCTATCCCAGCTAGCCGCGACAGCTATTCTGGCCACCATTAGGGCGGTGTCGGGGAAGGCTACCAAGGCAACCAACCGCAGTGCCGCCGACATGTCGCGATCGAGCAGTGTCGGAACGATGTGTACATCGTTACTTACTCCGGACACGGAGACATCGCTGGCAAATGACGCGGTGACGCAACAGCTCCAATAGGGGAAGCAAGTCGAAGCTACCCCAAGCCGCTTGACAACCGCCACAAAGACCGGTTGCGCCAGCAAGCTACGGTAAAATGGACCCTGAGGGCCTCGGCAGGCCATAGCATAAAGCAAAAGATCTGGGGTCAGGCGGATCAAAGAGGTCAGATGCAGGGTTGGTGCTTGGCGGAAATTGTAAGGGATATTCAGGTACAGTGTGGTGATTGGAGGACTGTTTGATGGCTATGATGTGGGGATCGGCATGTCTCAGCCACTTAGCTTCCGAGGCGGTGCTCACGCGTTGGAGACGATCTTCGAGAAGCTTGGAACCGCGTCCGAGGAGCGTGGTGATACACCGGAACGTGGACGGTGGGTTCTTGGGAGTGAGTTGGCGTTTGCCAGCACCGACTTGTCAAGAGCATGGTCGACAACATAGGAATCCGGTTGCGGCCAAGTTCGTGTAACGTTGCTTCGGGCGTTCCCCGATATTTTCACGGACTACCCTTGGTATGTACTGAGCATCTGATGTCGTACGTTCGTCCACACAGGGCGGCTGAGGAATGCAGACTGGGCTGCAAGCGGCACCGTTGCGGGGAAGGTCAAAGTCAGACCTCGTTGTGGTTCTGTGATCGGCAACACGTCCACATGCAAAACACGCTGTCCCCGGGCAAAAGGCCCACGAGGCCGAAGTTCTTCCAACATGGTGGAGGTATGATGCCATTATCTGACTCATGCCTTCTCGTGGGCAGTGATCTTTGCCCCATGTAGAGGACTGTGGTACCTGGAAGCTGAGACAGGTACCTCTGCCTTGCCAACTGGCTAAAGGCGACATTCATTTGTAAAAGCAAGTTGTTTCGTGCCGTGGTGTCCAACATGCGAGGCAAACCGTGTGGCTTGCCAATAGGGCAGCAGGAGGATGAGCCGCCCCCAGAAGCATCGACGTCATCAATCGCAACCATCTTCTTCACCGTACATTGCCAACTTCCTCTTCTGCACGTCACGAGATTCGCCCCCGACACACCGGACGCATATGCAGCTTGCCTAAGTGATGTTGTTACCAGGTTACTGACAAGACACGATTGTCGGGTATAAACGTGCAACGGCGCGCGATCGCGAAAAGCTTGGCTGATGCGGGGAAGGTGGCACGATGCCTTTCCCGGCGCTGGCGAAGTCGGCAGTAGATCTACGAGCGTGATCGTCGGAGCCATGGGAGGGCGTGTGACTGCCAGAAGTTTTCTAGTGACCATCGTGGATGCCCAAAGCTCGCTGAGGTTGATGTACCCGACGAGGATTCGTCTGCCGGCCTGCTAGTCTACCAAGGTGGCAGTTAGCTGCGCAGCGTCGTCAGTCATAGTACATCGTGCGATGGGGTGCGGAGATGCGCGGGCGGGTTGGACTACTGGAACGAGTTAAGCTGACAGCATAGGTTTGTGGGGTAGTGTGAAGCATCGTGGGAGTGAAGTTTGGGTCAAGATGTCGCGTGATGAAGGTAGACAGAGTCGCCGCGCGGGTAGTGACGGCCTCGGGGGCTTTTAGGCCATGTGACTTGGGACAAGACGGCATCATGACGGTCGACACAGTATGGCGACTGGATGACGATGGTACTTGCTCGCATAGTTGGAGGTTCGGCGCACAATGCTGCGCATGCTTAGTTTCAGAGGCATGGTGCAAGTCACGCGGAGGCGTTCTCGATGCACTGCATGGCCGCCGATTGAAATTACGGAAAGATTTCGCGTGCACTGGCGCTGGCGGCAACCTAACGAACAGAACCGGGTTACTAACGATGCCCACGATACGCACATGTCGACCACGTGAAACCACATCAACGTCTAATGCCTAGCCAAACTGTATCCCAACTTAGTCGCTACCAATGTCAACTAGAAAATTACAAACACCTCCAGGGCAGGTGCAGCCGGAGACACGTTTGGAGGAGGCAGGTCCATCTGGGCAATGTCGGCTGAGGTAAGGCGCCGCAGCCGCCTAACATGCCGCGGTGAGGGGCGATACCTTACCCGCCCGGATTGTTACAATACACAATACACATCACATCATCGAGACAGCCCGATTCGAGGTGAGCTCCACTTGTTCCGTATCTTTTCCGACGACATGTGCTGCCATGAGGCTAACGTCCACCATGGCAGCAGGCCGCCATGGGCAGACATGCCAACCCTGACATAAGGCGAGCATTCGAAGAGTTTCAGGACCAAGACACGCCCTCAAAATGTAACAAAGTACGCTGTTTGCATTGCGGCTTCGTGCGCGCGAAGAATACAACGCGACAGATCGAGCATCTCCAAGACTGCCAGCGATATCTGACGTCGCCCGAGGCGCAGGCCCATCTTCTCGCGCAGGAGCAGCAACAACAGCAGCCGCCTCAGCAGAATGGATTGCCTATGGATTCGAACATGGCTCCAGGTCCCAGTCAAATTCTGAGTGGGCAGCAACCAAATCCAAATCTCCAAGTAAATCGGCGCGGTCCCAACAGTAAGCGCACACGCGATGGACAGCCTATTGCGCCGAATATTGCCATGACACCCAATGTTGCGCCTTCTCTGACGTCTCATCTCCTAAGCATCTGCGCGGGCCCATTTGCGCAAGCAACACAGCGACCGTTCCTGTCGCATGCCGGTTGTGGATCGCTAGGAGCAGGACCGTTGTCGCAATGGCTGGTACAAGACGGACACTATGCGCGAGGCTACATTCGCTTCATAGGACAGCTTTTGGCCAAGATAAGACTGCCGCAGACGCAGAACTCGCAGTTCCACCCCATGTATCGCACCATGGACCTACTCATCTCCGCGCTGAACAACATGCGAAGAGAGATGCAGTTCTTCGAGATCACCGCGACCAAGTATGGGCTTGCGTTGGGCATGGAACCGCCTACGCCTATTACGCGTGCCATGCTCGATCTTCTCGTGAGCGCGAGTAGTGCGAGCGCATCGCTTTTAGAGGGTATGGTCGTGCTATGGGCAAGCGAACATGTAGGTCCAACCCAACTCAGTAATGGGCGCACGAAGCTAATGTCTGATAGTGCTATCGCTCCGCCTGGCAATATGCCGCCTCCTTCTCCAATACCCTCTCCAACACCTCCACTGACTCGCACATCGTCGCCCTCCACCAAGCCCTAATACCGAACTGGACCTCCCCTGCCTTCAGCAAATTCGTCGAGGCGACACGCGCGCTCGTCGATGAGCTAGCAAACATCACAACTACACGCGATGGCAAAGAGGAAATGTCGCGCTGCGAAGAGATCTTCCGACAAATGTGTTGGCTAGAAGAGCGCTTCTGGCCCGACGTCGACAACATGGGTGATAACAACGAGAGCGTGAGAATGGGTCCACCGATGGGCGGCCCCATGAGCGCAGGCCTGGAGAACAACATGCATAAGAACATGCCCAACGGCCTTCCCGTCGCAATCAACGGAAACGGAGTCCACAACCACAATCGGAACAACAGCATGCCCGGCCCCAGCATGAACAACAACGGTGTACCCACGAACATCCACGGCAACCCCGTAAACGGCCGGAACAGCATGAGCGGTCCCGTTCGTAACGCGAGCATCAACGGCCCTATCAATGCGGCTATCAATAAGCACGACAGCACACCCGTCAACGATAACCGGAATCCCTTTGGTATGCCCAACAGAGGCGGTATGGACAATGTTGGCCAAGGCTCATAGTCTGAGCACCATACTCTTCCCCGCATGGCTGCGTGGAAACTTCGAAGAGAAACGTTGCATCGTATCGTTCTTTCTAGTCTTTTCCCCGACGACTCTTCCTTCAGCGAGGACTTTGATGCTGGTAGCATCGGGGATTGGGACGAGGACACTGACTACGTTATCGTTTGATAGGGTTTGGGCTAGGGAGGTATCGCGGGGGACACTGCATGATTATTGGGTGGAGTTCATCGTGGAGTATCAGATACCCTGGTATGGTCTAGTTATACGGTGGTACAGGGCGTTGGTACATGATCCTTAATGGATTAAGCGGTTAGATTATGGGTTACGATACATCGTAGGCAGGTTGGATGACAAAACATCAGTAGTCTGTACGTTGTAATTGAACTTTTCTCCCATTCTCATCATCACCCGTGACTTGCGCTTACTCATCTTGAATCGTACACGCTCATTACCTCGTGGTTGTCGTGATCAAAAGAAACATTCTTGGTTCTGTTTCAGATGATGGTCAAGGAACCCCAACAACGCTTTCGTGTACGAATATGGATAACACATTCCTGCAAGTGATGACGAAAAAAGTGAATTGAGATTTAGCACATCACTTGCAATATTTACATTGACACACAAAAGAAGCTCGAGTCAACTCAAGATCGATGCGCTTAATGAACTCATGGATGAATGCTTTTTCTCAGAATACTCAGTAATGCACAGATTCCCACCCAAGTCCAGATTTATGCGCCTCCCCAGCTAGCACCGCCTCCGCCGATACCCGTGCTGCCTAGATTAGAGCTATATCGCCTGAATCCCTTACCCATACCAATCGGTATCGATGACGTTCTCCTTACAATCTTTCGTCGTCTGGTCTGAGAATGACTTCTTGCCGCCTCCAGGGGATTCATCGACTGCCCTTGACCCACAGACACCGAAGCGTTGTCTTCATCATCGGAGGCCATGGCCACACTCGATCGCGTAGTTGTGAGACTCAAGATATTTGGTGGGTCACCAAAGTCGCCGAATTCCGACTCTGAAAACGCTGCTTCATCTTGCTGCCAGGTTGTTGGAGGTACACTTGCGTCGTTTCCAACCACTTCTTCTTCTGTCTCGATGATGTTCTCCTGGTCGTTGATATCTTCGTCGCCTCCAAACCCTTTACCCTCGACTAGCCAGAAAGTTGGTATAGAGGCAGCAAGCGCAATGGCAGACATTGTCCAGAAAGGTACAATGACATAGCCGCGCTTGACACCCCAAGTAAACAAGCCACCCCCCAAAGTAGGACCTAATGCCCTGCCAAACGAGCTAAAACTAGTAGCCAGGCCGTTGACGGTGCCTAGGACACGCAGGCTGAGCGCACTGTTCGTGAGCATGATTGTGCTGGTGGTGAATGAGAATGTGCCAGCCAGGCCTCTGACCATCAAGAGCATGACCATAGCGACTTCCCTCATGACTGGATCTGGGATAAGTGACAGGAACGGTGTGACGAAGAACACAAATGGGAAGATGAGAAAGGCAATCCGAAGGCAGCGAACAACACCGAGGTAGCGCGCAATGGGTGGGAACAGCAGGAATTGACACACAGTGCATGAGATGGCGAATACGGTGAAAATGATGCCGATGCGACGGGATTCAATTCCGAAGCCTCCTGCAAATTTCAGAGGAAGGGATACCGTAGGATCGTCTGCGAGTTGTACAGGGTGATGCATGAACACTGGAAGCAGCTGCACTGGATCAATATCAATACTTGGCAGGCGCACAAAATCACGCACCTGATCATATGCCTGAAGGTACATAGCGAGTAGCGTGTACACAATCAGATTAAGCGATGTCTGATATGTCAATACATCCCGATACCTTGGTGCCTTTTCTGGGATGATTTCATGAGCAGCATCATGTTGCGACGTCGTTTCGCTGTCGATTACTTTATGCTGACCAAGTAGAGGCTCGTGCTCTGAACCGCTGGTCTGCTTCTTGGTTGGAAGGTGTAGTATTTTGCGAACAAATGCTGTCAACCGAGCCCCAGTTCTCAGGCCTAGATCTGGAGCGTGCTTCTTGCTTTCCAGGGTCTCCTGTAGGAACAGCCAGCCTACTGAAATGCCGAAAGTGAATAATGCGGCGGCCACAATATTAGGCAAGCAGTACGGAAACCTCTCCAGGAAAGCGGTGCCCTTAGGCTTGCGAGGATCTACGCGGAGAGGATTGGCCAAGGCTCCACCGAGTGTAGGTCCAAACGTGGCACCAACTGTCCAGACCAAAGGCATGACACTGAACGCTCTCGGTTGTAGTTCTTTCCATGGGCATAGTTCGGCCACCGTAGTGCGCAGTATGCCCACGTACCCGTTCGATAGTCCTCCGATAGCGCGTGCGGCTAAAGCCATAGGCAGATTGAGCGAGAAACCCCATAGCAACATCGACCACATGGTGTTGGTAAGGCCAAAAAGTATAATCGGTTTCCTCCCATAGCGATCGGATGCAGCGCCCCAGAGGAGGCCAGTGAAGCCCTGACATAGCGAAAAGGCCGAGGACGAGATACCAGCCCAGCGCGCGATGTCATTCTTGGGGATGCCAAAGGACTCCATGAGCTCCGGTACGTAGGGGAAGACAGACGTGAGGGCGATGGGCTCGGCAAACCGGCATAGTGCTGTCGCGAAGTTAGCAAGCTTACAGGTGAAGACGCGTCGAGCGGACGTACAGAGAATGGCCAGCTGCTTGACCGGTAGGCGGTGTTCTGTCATGGCGGCGGCGGTGGTTGTAGAGGATGCATGCTATCCAAAGCTGCAAGGTAAGGAAGAAGAGCAGGAACAGTCACAAAGTCCCATGCTTGCTCCCATGCTGAGTCCGCGAAGGGCGTGCACCCCGCAGTCACGGCTAGCCGCTCATGGTCACAGGTGCGCTATTTGCGGTGAGCACGAGTCAGCCTTTCGCGCGCGCGATGCACTGGTCGTCATTCCGAATTCCGAACGGTGCGACCTCCATGCTCAGGTTGGTTTGTTGTCGCGTGTCTGGCGTTCGGGGTGATGACGGGGGATAGCTGACGCGATTGTCGTCATCAGCTTGAAGCTTGGGCGGAGAAGATGCCGCGAACGCAGTTCCAGGGTCTGATTAGCACGCCAAACATCAAAACCATCTGCTACGCTTGAACACACATCAAACGGTACTTTCACTTCGGAACTCAGACCCCCAGCAGTTGGCAGCTAGTGCAACAGAGACCGTGCGAACAGCTGTTAGTCGAGGTTGCTCGGCGCCTGAGCCACGGGAATGGCTGGAATTCCACCGATCAATCGGCCGTCCCGTGATAATAAACCGATCGAGGTCGTATCGTTATCAATTCGTGAGGTGATTGAAGAGTTTGAGTTCTTCATCTCACACAGGGCCGAATCTGCAAAACTTTACCCTACTAAAGTTCAATCATATCCGCCGGAAATCAGCCGTGTCTGGAGACTGCGCTGGGCCTTGAGTCCAGGATGAGAGCGATGCAAATGCACCTGGCGACAGGACTTTGGGACCAGAATATTGGGCTTTCAAGGAAGATGTAGCCATTCCGTTCGCGGATATAACTGCGAAAAACATTACCGGAGTATGGGTATGGCGATGTACGCTGGGGGTGCCTGCGTCCGCGCAAGAGGGGCAGCGCCAAGACGCTAATCGTGGCTTCCTTCTCTTCGCATTCTAACTACCTCGCAAGTGACCTTCCATTGTAATCATCAACGGAAACTGCCCAGTTCAAGCTCATCTAAGAACGATTGTCTCACCGATGCAGCTACAAAGAACAAGAAGGTCGCCCAAACCTGATTAGCGGCCTTGCCAGTGAAGAAGCTGGACGGGCAGCAATTCGAACGTCGACCTCCCATGTCTGTCAAGCTGTCTACCGCCTATTTAGCAGGTTCATGTTTCTGGGAACCATGCGGGGAACTTCACGATCAGGCTTACTACTAGGCGCAGAGAAGCCGAGGAGAAAAGCCAGGTCTGCCAGACACTCAAATCGTCAAGTGCATTTACTATTATGGCAAACACCCTTCTTTAGCTTGGAGCCAGCTGTTACCTATCATTCAGTCCGCAAGAAGTACCAAGAAAAATCTACACCGCAGTCTTCTTGCGCTGTAGCGCAGCCCCCGGTGCGGCTCTTCCCGGATCTGGTGTCTTCATTCCCATCTGGTCGAATGTCAAGCTTAAACACTACGAGCGTTCTCGCAGATATTACTGGCCTTCAATACCCTCATCTGGAAACCCCGAAGTACTGTGCGGATGTCTCCTTTCGACGATGCGACCATCGCTCGCTGTCACTGGCTAGGTGATCCGTGAACCGTGATGTGGGTAGGCTACCCCAGGTCCCCACGTATCGGGCCTGACTTACACACAGTATCGATGCAAACACCACGGATCTTGGCCCGGAGTCACTGGTAGGCTCCCGTCCCAAAGGACACAACAGTCAGACCTCTAGGCAAGGCAGAACCGGAGCACCAAGCTTGTTTCATGCCTCGGCAAAAACCCAGCCTGACGACACGAAAAAAAAGTCAGCATGTGCGGGTTTTATAGTCAACGTATTACCTATCTATCGTCTCTCTGATCACAGCATGATGTCTGGCTCAGAGAGCGGACTAGGGTTTGAAGATCACAATGTACGCAGCAGAGCAACACTGCCAACGCAGCATAGGATTTTCTAATCCTAGCTGATGCTATCATTGAAGGTAATTCCACTCAACTTTGCGCAGCTGCCAAGGGTGTTGCGAGCGTCTCATGGCCTGTCGCATCGCCGCCTTTTGCGCGGAAGGTTAACTGCGTCCACGTGTGACCATTCGACTAAATCCACAGTGTGTTGCTAGTTAAGCGCCTGGCCACACACTTCCATACTTGCGACAAGAATTCCATATCGAGGAAGAACCGACTCTAGAGGGACTCCAACCGTTCTTGCGTTTTCGCGACGTCACCTAGAACAGCGCTTCCACGATTTACTTTCATAGTGGAGCACGGCGAGAAGCCGATCAGACTTCTGTCACAGACGCGAAACC